CCAGGTGTGGCACATAGTAGGTGCTCAGTCATAATAGCTAACATTTACTGCATGTAATATAACACTAAGAAGTATGAATAATGTTATGATGTAAATATTGCAAACGGTGTAAAGTGAGAGTTGAAGAGGTTACATAACTAATTAGCGAGGCCTCACAGCCAGGGAACCGTGGAGCAGAGATGCAAACTCTGGACCACAGGCCTCTGAAAGCATGTGTGAGTACTTCGGGCTGGTCAGGACACACTCTCTTTCACTGGATATGCTTGTTCTTCTGCTCAGGTGACCTGAAAAGGTGCCGACTCAGAAGCAACAACCTCCACTCCAAGATAAGAGGCAGAACTGTCAGCCAACTGGATTTGATGTAAAAGAAAAACCACACACAAAAAAGGAAGAGTTGAGACTAATCAGAATGTTCTGACATTCTGAATGTGGGGAAGAGAGTACGGAATCCAAAAAAACCCAGCAGGGACGAATGACATCTTAGTCGTGGAACTGACAGCAGATGTGAACAAAACCCTCAGATGTGGGAGACGCTGATTAGAAGATGAGAAGGTTCAAAATAGGACACAGTGATGTGCTCAGGTGAGAACTTCAGGATGCATTTTCTGTTCCTTCAGCTCTATCTGGCAGTAGAGTTTCCCAGGTCCGTTTAGGTCTTGGGGGTTTAGCGTGAGGAAATGGCAGCCGCTCTGCTCTGGAAGCTGGGTCATTCGGCGTGGCCTTTCTCTCTGCCTCTCCCTCCGACCCCAGCAAGGAAGTGTTTGCTGGGTTGGTTCATCCCTGGCCAATGGGAAATGGATCTTAAGGGGCAGCCTTTGGTTCAGTCTCTGATCTTTGGCCCAGACGACCATAGACAGAGTGGCAGGATTGGCTTCACGAAAGCCAGTATTCACTGAGGCTTTGCTCCGACAGTGTGCTGAGCGCTCTTCATGTGGCTTCACGTGTTAGCTTATTGAATCCTCACAACAACTGCACGAGCCAGGTACTATTATTCCCAATTGAGATATGGGGAACTGAGGTTCAGAGAGGTTAAGTAATTTTCCCAAGATCACCCAGCTAGCAAGCTGCAAAGCCTGGGCTGGCATCCTGATCTGGGAGCTCTGTGCCCCTTAATCTCCTCTCTGTCCGGTCTCACTTTCAAGCCCTCTTCAGAGCCATGTCAAAAAACACCCGAGAGCTGCTCTTCCCAGAAGCGGACAGCAGGGGGCAGTGCAACCAGCCGGCATTTGAAGTTCGGCTGTCCTCCAGGGTAACCAATCTCCAGAGAAAGTGTCTAAGGGATGTTTGGTTTTATGCTCTAAATGGAGAATACATGCATAAAACTATGAAGAGTACCAGTCTGTGATTACAAGCAGAACAGTCTGGGATTCCATGTTTTGTGAAAACCTCTCAGACTCACCTCCCCCAAACCAAAGCCCCGTCTAGGGCAGGGACCGCCTCTGGCGCCTTCATCTCTGTGTTTCAATGTCTGTCGTCTAGTTGGTGCTCAACAGACAGTCATGGCACTGAAAGACGGTTGGTGGGAGGGAGGGTGTTGCTTCAGGTGGGAACAGTTTAGATGCTTACTGAGGGCATGCTGGTGTCCAGGGATAGCTGGGGGTTTCTGAGGAAGGAGGTGGGTAAGACTGGCTCATCAAAAGCCTTCCCCTCCACTCTGGGACCAAAAGTGCTGGCCTAGCCTCCCCGACACTTTCAGGACCCCAGCCCACGATGGTGATGAGCCCTGGCACTGGGCTAAGTGGGTCTGCACTGGACCACCCATGTGAGTGCGGTTTCCTCATCTGTACCTGGCGAGGTTAAGAACGCCTGTGCAAGGGTGCATCGGGACTCCATGTTGTCTTGGACTTCAGAGGCAATGAGACAGGTTCGGAGGCCAGCTCTGCCCTTGGTAGCCATTCCCAGCATCACTTAGGGAGGCCCATGGTCTTGGAGCCTCAATCTCATCTTCCATAAGATGGAGGTGGGAATAGGATCAATTGCATGGGGCTGTTGTGAGAATTATGCACGGGCTTGGCCTGGTCCAGAGTAAACCCTCCATCGGTGACAGCTGCTGTTGCTGTTACAGAATGCCTGGGACACGGTCTCTGGCATGTTAGATGAGTAAAGGGTAGCTCCTGCTATCACCTGTCTCCCTGAGCACACCTGTTACATGGGGTGATGCGCTTAGAATAGCATCTGGCACATGGGAAGCACTGAAGCAGTGAAATAAAATACAGCGGAAGCCAGTGTGAAGGAAGAAGACCGATCCCTGTCCTCAAAACACTCCCAGCATTGGGGAGTTTTTGTTCCATTCGCCCCTCCTAAGCCAGGACCCGTGACACCTGTGATACAGCAGCCCAGGGATGGTGTCTGTCCTCAGAATGATCACTGTGCAGTGGGGGAAACACAAGAAAACAGGATATGAGCAGGGAGGAGGAGGGGGCTCTGGGCAGGGCACCCCCATTTCTCCCTCTCGGCCCCAGGTTCTCGCCCCAACCCAACTGTGCACCAATGCCAGATTAAACTTCCCCAAGTGCCACATGGATGACATGCCTCCTTAGCTTAAAAGCTCCATGCTGTCCAAGTGTGCTGTGTGGTCCATGCTCCTCGCCAGGAGAGGCAGCCCCAGGGGGGCGAGGGCTGGCCCAAGAAACCTGGGGTCTGCTCCACATTCGCTGAGTAACGCCGTGCAAGTTTTCTACGCCTCCCGGCCCCGGCTTTGTCACATCTGCAGCAACAGGCTGGGTCAGGCAAGCCCTGGGTTCCTGCGGCTCCATGACGCTACACTTCTGCCTTCTCAACTTTCACTCCTCATACGAACTTGCTCATTCAAACCGGCCCCCTCTTGGTCTCTGGAGTATGGCTCTTGTTCCTTGCTCTCCAGACTTTGCCCCGTCCTCTTCATCCACTGGAGCCACCCCCCAGAGGGCCTTCCTAGGTTCCTCCCCACCCTAGGCTGGGGACAGCCCCACCTGTCCTCTCCAGTCCATGCTGCTTTCCTGAGTATCACACCCGCAAGGACAGTTTTTGCTTGCCAGGCACTGCAAATACAGGCTCCAAACCGACCTCCTCAACGCTGATCACTCCCCATATCTGCCTCTCCTGCTTCAGGGAAACACTGTTGGTTCAAGCCAGAAGCCAGGGCTGTCCGTGTGGCCCCTCCTCCCTCCTCCTCCTCCCTCCTTCCCAGTCCCTTCAACCTTCACTTCTGCCTCCCAAGTATCCACTGAAGCCGCCCACTCCTGTCTGGCCCAGTTGACAGCGCCTTGGTTGGGGCTTCCCCACTTCTCACCCAGGTGGCCTCCTGGCTGGTCTCTTGGGGCTTCGAACCATCCCCTCTGCAGCCCCCAGAGTGATCCAAGTTACATATCTGACCACATCACTCCCTGCCTACACCCCTTAAGTGGAAAAGAAATATTCCCTGCTCTGGTTTTGTCTCAGCTGACAGTGCTTGAGGACTCACCAAGTGCCAGGAGTCCTGCTGACCTTCCAAGGCCAGTTCATATCCTATAACCCATTTCATTCATTCACTCATTCATTTATTCAGTATACTAAAAGCCACGGGCTATGCCAGGTGTTTTACCGACATAATTTAATCTTAACAACAATGTTCTCCAGTAGCAACTATTCTAATTCCCACTTTGCAAAAGAGAAAACCGAGGTCCAGGGAGGAAATTGCTCAAGGTCACACTTGAATTTGTGTTTAAGAGAACACGAGTCCCCAGGAGCAGAAGTCTAGCAGCTGTGACCCATTCCCCACCGAGGGGAAAGGTTTACGGAGAAAGCAGAGCCCGAGGGGTAACAGAACCCGCCCGCCCCCCGCCACTGCCATGCAGGGCCAGGCTGCCCAGTGTGTGGGGCCCGTGTGTGTGACACTGAGACCACTGAGGGGAGCCTCAGACCCTCCCCGCTTAATCCAGGACCAGGACCGAAACAGTGAGAAGGAAAGGAGGTTAAGGAGGACAGCTTCCCTTCAGCCCTTGTCCCTCCCTGGTCCCAAACCACATGAGGAGCTGCTCCCTTCCCACATCCTGCAGGGCCCACGATAGCAGTCCCACCTCTGAGTTATCTGGCTCAGAAGGGCACCCACAGAACCACTCCCTCTCCCCCCTCCTGAATTACAGATGGGTAAACTGAGACCTCTCCCAGCACTTCACACTACAAAAGCCAGGATGAAAACCCAGTTCTCCAAACATTCATCCAGCACCCTCCTGACTCTTCCTCCCGAGAAATCTTTCCCAAGGAGCAGGAAAGGGGCCTTGGTGGTGGAAATGCACTTGGAACCCACCTGGGTTCATGCCAGCCTGCCACTCACCAGCTGTGTGAGTCCTCCGGCAGGTCACTTCACTTCTGTGTCCTCATCTGTAAAATGGATACAGTAACAGCGACCTCACAGTGCTGCTAAGAGCACCAGTGAATAATATTGGCTTGGCCAAACAGTTCGTTTGGGTTTTCCGTAAGATGTTCCGGAAAAACCCGAACGAACTGTGTGGCCAACCCAATATAATAGATGCATAAAGCATCTGGAATATAGAAGGTGCTGAGCCAACTTTTAAGCCAGACTGTGGGGTCCGCAAAGAACTTATGTGGGGAAAGAACCCAGCTCTCCTCACCCCCTCACCCCCAAAGGCAGAATGAAAGAATATGAGAAAACAGATACAGGTAAATGCTATAGGAATTTGGGGAGGGAGAAGTTCCTTTTCCTGTCAGCTGTTTGATAACCCAAACTGGACAAAGGGAAAACAACGTGGGAGGATCGCTGATTTGGGGTGTCACTATTTTCCCAGTGACCTCGAACTTGACCTTCCCCAAACACAGAGTAACTTGGCCAAAAAGCTTCTTTAAGAAACTCCCGCTTGTAGGCCTCCCAGGAAGGGCAAAGTAGGGCGGGGCTGGAGAAGGCGGAGTAGAGGGCGTCGGCTGACCCTCACCCCTGGCCACACTCACGCGGGGCGGCGCGGACTACAACTCCCGGCATGCCTGGCGCGCGGTACATGCCCGCCTCCAGCCGCCTTGCAGGCAGGATGCAGACGCTGGGAAGAGCGATGAGGATGGAGGCCCGCGAGGCAGCGCCGCCGGCGGGCGCGGGCGGCTGGAGCAAGTGGGTGAGGCTCAACGTAGGGGGCACGGTGTTCCTGACCACCCGGCAAACGCTGTGCCGCGAGCAGAAGTCCTTCCTCAGCCGCCTGTGCCAGGGGGAAGAGCTGCAGTCTGACCGGGTGAGGCCCGCGGGGTGGGCGGCGGTCGGGGATCCGTAGCTCGCCGGAACCTGGTTGTCCAGCCTGGCCCGCCCACGGGGCTGGAAACCCGGCTGGGTTTATTTCCGAAGAGCTGGAGGCGGGAAGAACTGGCCGGAGGAGGGGAGAAGGAAATGGATCGGAGAGTGAGGGATGTGGCCATTGCCGTGGCAACAGGACAACGCCGGGCTGCGCCCATTTGGAGTTTTGAGCGCTGATCTGGGCTCCCAACCCAGGAGGCTAATGGATGGGGACTCTCCCCCTCCTTTGGGGCTGTGGGAAGAGACAGACACCTAGGGCATTGTCTTCTGCCCAAACTGGACGCCTGCACCACGGAAGGAGTTACTGAGTCGGCTTCTCCCCGCCTCCCCGCCCTTTGGGGTATGGGTAGCCTTGGGGTACAGGGAGCTGGGTGGAGAAATCCCGGGGTGCCTTCTCAGCTGGGCTTCATCAGGTAGGAGCGCTGGCCTGGGGCACCATTTCTGGGTTCCCATCTCGGCTCTGCTGCAAACCTCCTGCATGACCTTGGGTCAAACCCTATCCTGCTCAGCCTCCTGTCTGTAACCCCAGAGGGCTGGCCTGGCGATGACCTCTAAGGCCCCCTCTCTCCTGTTTCCTGACCCTCTGGTGCTGTGACCTTGGGCAAGTCCCCTCACCTGGTGATGTCTCCGTTTTCTCTCTGTAGAGTTGTATTGATGCCTGCTCTGCCTCCCTGCAGGCTGAGGGTATCCAATGAGATAGTGACTCTTTTGGAAACTTGTAAACATCCCCAGAATGCCAGGGGATCTGGTGGAGACAGTGTAGGGCTGGCTTCAGGGAATAACCTCCAAGAGGGACAATCCCTGAGCCCTGCGCTGGGTCAGGTGCCACTCAGACCTCACTGGATGCTCACAATGCTCTCCAGTTATGGGAAAGAAGAGGGTGGCTCCGAGAGGCCAAATCGCTGGCCCAAGGTCACACAGTCAGGAAAAGGCCGAGGCAGGATTTGAACCTAGGTGTATCTGACCCCAAAGCCTTTTTACTCCATCAGGATGCTCTGTTCTGGGGAAGAGCAGACACTCCGCCCCCTCCCGCCCTCCCTCTGATCCTTTCCTGGGACTGAAGTGAGAGGTCAGGCAGGGGAGCGGGGCTCACTCTTCTCTCACTGCCTGTGCCCCTCACCTTTGTAGGATGAGACCGGGGCCTACCTCATCGACCGTGACCCCACCTACTTCGGGCCCATCCTCAACTTCCTCCGGCATGGCAAGCTGGTGCTGGACAAGGACATGGCTGAGGAGGGTGAGTTGGTCCAGGGGAGGCTGGGGCCCATACCCTAGCCCTGCCCTCTGCAGTCTGCCGGGGCCTCCTGTGGAGGCGCAAAGCCATTTCGGCCATCCTCAGGGGACATCTGCTTTCTTCCATGTTTCCTGCTTCTTCTCATTCCTGACAGGACTGACTCCCAAAGCCTGTGTCCAGGCTGAGCCTAGGGACTGTGCCAAGGTGACTGGCCCATGCTTCCACTGGGTGCTGCTGGGGAGGTGACAGAAACATGGAAGCAGAGGATAGAGGGAGCCAGTGAGGCTGGGCAGGGATGCCCTTTCCCCTGGCCTTCTGGGAAGCCAGTTGTGGGTGGAGATGGCCATGGGGAGAGGTGTGGCTCTCTTTGTCTGGGTGATGGGGTATCTCAGATGCCTGGTGAGGGCTCACGTGGGTCCGCAGGTGTGTCGAGTGGGTGACTCCTCGCCCAGATCCGCAGCCCCTGCAGCACAGTTGTGGGTGAAGGTAGGGGTGGGCGGAGCCTGCTCTCCAGCAGGGCTTTGGTCCCTCCCAGGCCTGGCTGGCTGAGGCCCTGTAGATGCCCACTTCCAGCCCCAACAGACAGTGGGGAGAAAGACCGGATGCCTGCCTGGGAGAAAGGCTTGTTGGCAGAGCCCCTGCCAGGAGCAAGGGGTGCCAAGTCCTCTTTTCCTTAGGGCACAGGGTGTGGCTCTGGGTCACCTGACCCAGCCAGGCCAGCTTGGACATATCACTTCTCCTTTCTGAGTCTCCACTTGTGTATATAAAGGAGGGGCGGTGATCTACATTAGAGACATGTTCTGGGAAAACCAGATGTCATGAGTCCCGGGGCTTGTACCCTGGAGGTGTCTAGCACAGCCCCTCCCTCCTCACTCGGGCCCACGGTCTTCCCTCCTGACTCCTGTGGGACACAGTGATCTAGAAGCCAGGTGGCTCCCCAGAAGGCCACAGCTTCAAAATCAGAGCCCGCTGTAGGCGTCGGCTCTGCAGAGCCCCACAGCTTTCCCAGCAGCCCCTGGGGCAGCAGGTACCATGGGCGTGGCCTGGGCCCAGGAGTAGGTCCCATGGGGAGGGGAGGTAAACACTCCAGCGTCACGGCCAACACCAGTTTACAGGTTCTGGGTTTGTCAAGCCCTGGCACTCCCAGCACCTTGAGACAGGGCTAGAGCCCCGATCCAAGGGGCCAGGGGATCCAGGAGGAAACTGACTAGTTGTGTAACACCTGGAAAGTCACTTATCCCTCTGTGCCTCCATATCTGCATCTGTGGAACGGGGTGACAATAGCACCCACCTTGCTGAGCTGCTGTGAGGATAAAAGGAGCTAATGCAAGTGCATCACTTAGCACGGTGCCTGGCACTGAGGACCCGTGAGGCAGAGTTAGTTGTCTGTCATCTGCAGGGCTCCACGGGGCGGGGCATCCTGGCAGTAGCACTCACTCACTGCCTCCTCTGTATTAGGTGGGTGTGGGCGCCGGGGACGTCAGACATGGGCCCTGTCCCCGGGGATCCCAGAGTCCAGTCATGGAAAGGACAGGAAGTGTCTCTGCCCCGCAGGAGCTTAGGGGAGTCCTAAGGCCGAGGGTTGTCCCCTTCACTGGAGAGGGCGCTCGCTCAGTCTCTAAGACTCTCAGTCTCCTTAACTGTATGGGGACAATAACGCCTGCTTCCTCCATGACCCTGGGGCTTGTGGTGAGCACAGGAGGGGCTTTGCAAACTGGGAAGTGTAGTGGTTGGAGAGATGCACATGCGCAAAGATTATGCATTTAGAAGGCAGAGGAACTTGAGTGTGAATCCCAGCTCTGCCAAGTGCCAGGTGTGTGGCCTTGCACAGCTGCTGCTTTGCCTGGTCCTCGGTTTCCCTGTTTGTTCAGCGGGGGTGATGAAAGTACCTACTTCTTGTGCTGAGAATTAACTGCGGTAAAGAGTGTAACATACCTGGCACGGTGCCTGGCACTTAGCGTGTGCTTCATAAATGGGAACATGTAATCGGGGGCCAGCCAGGCCCCTTCTCACTGTGGCATAGGGTCCAGTCCCAGCGGGCCCACTGCCTCTGGATAGCCCCAGACTAGAGGGCTGGCAGCCATCCCTGGGTCACTGTGCTCAGCACAGCAGGGGTATAGTGCCACTGCATGGCAGCCCCTCACCCCTACGACAGAGAGTGTGGGACCCAAGGAAGGAAGTGTTCCCTCTTGCCTGACCCCAACTCAGAGGCTCATCACCCTTGTGCGACTGGAGCAGGGGGTGGAGGTGGAGGGGACAAGGTGAGAACGGGGCACGGGGGCAGCGGGAGTGACGGGGGTGGGGTGCTGCTCTGTCTGTGCCAGGGGTCCTGGAGGAAGCCGAGTTCTACAACATCGGCCCGCTGATCCGGATCATCAAAGACCGGATGGAGGAGAAGGATTATACCGTCACACAGGTCGGGGGGCTGCAGGGCAGCGGGGCGGCATCCCTGGCCAGGGCCGGGGGTGGCGGGGACGGGGGAGGGGGGTCAGGAGGAAGGTTGGGAGGGGCAGAGCTAGTTTTCCTTGGGGAGGCCAAGCTCTCCTATAAGGGGAGGAGTGGTTGTCCAGCTCCCAAACTGTTCAGCTAAGCCCCTGACTGGGAGACGGACTCGGGGTTCTTTCCCTGCCTCGGCTCTGTTTGCTGTGTGACCTTGGGCCAATCACACCCCTCTCTGGACCTTGATTTCCTCTTGTGGAATATAGAGGTGCTGAGAACTGCCCACCCTTCCCTTCCTCCCGGGCAAAATGGGGTCACTGTGGAGGTACAGGGGGCCCTGTGGGAGGCAATGTGGGATTATTACATCGTCCAATTCATGGGCTCAGGTGGTCCCCTGGAGGTCACGGCACAAGCTTCTGGAGCTGGCGTTTCTGAGCTTGGACCCTAGGCCTAAGTGGCCAGGCTGTAGGAGGAGCTGGAGAGATTCTCTGCCCACCCTGGGGGAGACGTGGAGGGTGGGAAATGGGTAGTGAGGCGCCATCTCCCGGCCCCAGGAGATTGAAGAGAGGGTGCCCCGCGTCCCCTGGAGGACCTGCCTCAATTAGTGCCCCAGGATGTCCCCTAAGCCCCTCCTCCTTTCCCACTTGTATCGCCTGTGTTCCGATTCTGGCTCTGCTACTCTTTAACTGGGTGACCTTGGGCAAGTAACTGACCCTCTCTGCACTTCCATGAACATCCCAGAACTCCTAGGGTTTTTGGAGGGATTAAGTGAGAACATGCACGTCGAGTGCCTGGCACATAGTAGGTACTCAGAACATGGCTCCCATCTCCCCTCCCCCACTTCTGTCCTTCTTAGGGGTAGATGGTGGGGGGAGGACAGGTGCTCTTCCCGCCCCCGGGGTGCCTGGCACTCCCACAGGTGCCCTCCACGTCCCCCCTTTGCCTGCAGGTCCCACCCAAGCATGTGTACCGCGTGCTGCAGTGCCAGGAGGAGGAGCTCACGCAGATGGTCTCCACCATGTCCGACGGCTGGCGCTTCGAGCAGGTGGGCTGGGCCACACCCCCAGGCAAAGCAGGCCCCTCCCTTCCCACAGCCCCAGCCTTGGGGTGCCCACTGCAGCCGCCACCCGGGGTCTTAAGACAGACTAAACAAGATTAAGAAAGGCCACACTTGGCAGCAGACTGACCAGGAAGGAGAGAGGAGGGAAGCCCCAGTGGCCGCAGGGCAGCTCCCGGGAATCATCTTCAATGGGAGTCCTCCCAGCACCCAGGCAGTGGTCTACACCGTAATGTGTGAGTCTCTGGCCCCCAAGCGACAGCTGTGGTGCGAGGAGACAAGATCCACATAGGAGAGCGGAGGTCCCCTTGGGACCACACCTCGTGTAACAATTCCATAGGCATAGATTCCAGGTCCCCGCAAGGGACATGCCCAGTTCCAAGCATTGCCACATTCAGGGGAGCCCAGAGCAGCGGCTTCCCATGAGGTATTTATGGTGACCTGTACATCCTCCCAGTACCTATGCAGTTTACCAGCAGGAGAGATTTTTTTCATAAACCGTGTTGCCCTAGTAATGCAGCTGACAGTCGCACCTCTCAGGTTTCCAGAGGATCAGAGCCAACAAGTTAACCCAAGGTCAAACGTGCCCTCAGAGAAGGGGAAGGGTCGGGTTACCCTTTATCCTTACAAGCTCCCTTTGCACCTGGAGGTTGAAGAAGGGCAGGCTTCCCAGGATGGAGGAGCTCCCAGTCCAGGAGCCCGGGAGCCTGGATTCATATCTAGACCTCGCCACTGACATGCTGTGTGAACTTGAGCAAGGCGTGTCTCTCTGGGCCTCAGTTTCCTAATCTGTGACATGGGCCAGTAGTGCTTCCTTTGCAGGAATGTTGTGTAGGTTAGAAAGACCATGGATAAAGTCCCTAGCCCAGAGTAGGCCTCTCAACATTGGAGCTAGCTAGCATCCTGTGAATTATTAGAAGCATTTAAGTCTATAGGACCCCTGAGAGGACTCGGGGTCCCAGATTCAAATCCTGAATTTGAATCCACATTCACATTCAGATTCTTCCTGGCTGTGGGACTTCACCACCTCTCCAAACCTCATCTGCCGAAGGGGCTGATTTTTCCTCTCTGTCTGCAGGATGAGGGTTCCTGGGGGCCGAATGAGACCCATCATGTGCAGGGCCTTTATCAGCCAGAAGAGGCCCTGCAGGTGTGGTTATTTTAGGGACCCCAGAACAAAGGTCGGGCCACTCCTGAAAGCCTAAGGGAGTCTTTGGCAATTGCGTGGGCTCCCAAAGGCTGAGCGGGCATGTCGGGGGCCGCTGGCGTAAGGAACGGGCGACCTGTTCCACCTCTGCTTCCAACAGTGAACAGAATATTCTATGGAGCTCCACCAGGTCATGCCAGCCCCATCCTGCAGCCTGGCTCTTGGGGCTGCCTCAGCCACGTCTGGGACAGAGGGAGACAGCCTGCCCATTACAGGCCTCTGCCTGCTTTTAGGACGTTGCCTGCTAGATATGGGAGAGGAACAGCAGTGATAACCCTCCTCCTCTAAGGATCAGGTCCAGCCAAGCCACGTTGGGGGGCTGGCCCTGGAAATAGCCCAGAGCCATAGGCAGGGGCGGAGGGGGAGAGGACTCTGACTTTGCGCCAGAGGTGTCCTCTGGAAACCCAGGCATGGGCCTGAATGGAACAGCAAGGTCAGGGCACAGTTGACAAGTGCCGGTGTCCGCCCACCCTGTCCCCTCAACCCCGTCCTATCGTTTTTTTCTCCCCATGCTCCGACCTTCCAGCTGGTGAGCATCGGCTCCTCCTACAACTACGGCAGCGAGGACCAGGCAGAGTTCCTGTGTGTGGTGTCCAAGGAGCTCTACACCTCCCCGCACGGACTGAGCTCCGAGTCCAGCCGCAAAACCAAGGTGAGCCCTCTGCCCCAGCCCCTGCCCTGCCCCGACCTCGGCCTCCCTGCCTTTCCTCCCTCCCCTTGCCGCCCTCCACCTAGCCATCTGAGCTTCTTTTTCCCTCCCGCTGCACACGCCTAACCCCCTGCTCACAGCCAATGCCATCCATCCCATGCCACCCACCGTCCTGCCTGCTCACGCCAGTTACCCAGGCCCAGACCTGGGGGGCAACGAGATGAGATTATCCCCAGGGCCCGGCGAGGGTGGACTTAGATGCCACTTGGATGGTGGTTGCATGGTGGCCACGGGGCAGCGTAGCACAAGGGGGAGTGCACTGGACTAGGGGGTCTGGGCGTGGTGTGAGCGCTCTGCGTGACCTTGGACAAGTCCCGCCCCCTCTGGGCACCTTGGTTGTGTTCTCAGAGGAGTGAGAGGGGTGGGCCACCAGCTTGCAACTTCTGGGATCCAAAGGGCCAGTTTATTTCCCAGGGGCCTGGGCTGGGGCAGGAAAAGCCGAATCCGTTAATCCTGCCCCTACTGCAGGCTCCCTCCTAGGACTCAGCCGCAGAGGGGTCTGGAGCCCTTGGGGTCCGGCCCTGTTGTTTCCACCCTGGCCTGTGAGGCAGCATCAGCTGGCTGGCGGGGAGGGGGCTAATCGGAGGTCCTGCCACCCTGGACGCAGAGCTGATCGGAAGCCTGAGGGGCCTTTGGTAGGACCAGTGGGGCAGGCAGCTAGGCAGGCTGGGAAGAAGGGAGACCGTTCCTTCTAAGAGCCTGTCCCTATGTGCTGGAGACTTAGGAACTCCGCTTCCCGTCTGGCCATCTGCCTCCCTGGGCTGTGACTTCCCCTGCCCACCCCAGCCCCATTGGGGCCAGCGGCCAGCACGGCCTTGCAAGGGTGCAAGGTGAGCTGGCTGCTCCTGCCTCTCTGGGAGAGACCTCAGGACCTGGGGTGCCAGAGCCTGGTGCTGACATCTCAGGTCTGCCTGGTGTCTGCCCTGGGCCTCCCCTGGCCTCATTTCTGCTCTGGGTCGGTCCTCCTAAAACTGAGGCCTTCCCAGGCAGCCCTCAAGGCTACCCTGGCCACATACCCACCCCCTTCCTCTGACACCCCTCCCGCAGGCTTGCTCCGCGTCCCAGCAGCCAGGCCCATCCGTGAGCATCCTCAGCAGGACCCCACCCTCTGCCGGTTCCCCCAGGCCCCTCGCAGGCTTCCCCGGGGATCCGACAAGATGCCCCAGCTTCTGTGGCTGTAGCGCTCCCCTCCCTGGGAGGTGCCCCTCGCCCGTCCCCTTCACGCTGAGATGGGGGCCTGCGGGGACAGCCGCCAGCGGGCCCCGGCCCCCTCGTTAGCTCTGCGCTCTTTCTTCCCTGGGTCTGCCGCCTGGTCCACAGCGCGCGGAGGAGCAGCTGGAGGAGCCGCAGCGGCAGGAGGTGGAGGTGGCACAGGTGCAGGTGGAGGTGGAGGCAGATACGCAGCAGAAAGGTGCAGCCAACCCCCGAGGAGAACGATCGCTAATAAAGGCCGTGCCTCCCGCCCGCTCCCCGCTGGAGCCCGCTGCGGAGCCTGGGGTCCCGGGAAGGCCGGGGGGCGGGCCCTCCAGGGTTAGCTCAGCCGCGTGCCTGGCGCCTCACCTGCATAACCATCCCTTCTCTCACTTTGTCTTTGCAGCCCAGTCACCTCAGGATCCCGCTAACCTTTCCTCCCTCTCACCACCGCCTTCTCCTCCTCCGCTTCCCGCCGGAGGTCCTGCCTCATCTTCATCCACCTGTTCTTCCTCCTGGATCTCATCTGCACCCTGCCTCTTCCCTCTCTGCCCCTGTCCGGGTTTTCTCTCTGCCTGCTCACGCCTCCATCCCGGGGCCGCTGTGGTCCCAGCCTCCTGTGCCCTCCACCCAGGTGCCCCGGCCCCGCATCCCAGAGCATCCCGCCTGCCGCCTCCCGCACCCCTTCTGGCGCCTCCCGCCTCCGGGCCCGGGGCAGAGGGGCACAGCTGCACCTCCTTGGTGCCCGCCGACCCCGCCGGGCACATCTGAGGCCGGGCCGCCCTGCTGCAGCGCCTCACCTCCTCACGTTTCCTCCTTGCAGGTTCCCGTCTGCGCCCCCTCAGACCTGAGGCTGCGCTTGCGGTGAGGGCTTCTCCTGGGCCCCTCGCCCGCCCCCAGAGCTGCCACGCCTGGTTTGTAGCTTGGCAGAGCTGGAGGCAGGGGCGGAAGCCAGGAGGGTGCTCATCTCTTGTTTTCTTGGACTTGAGCCGAACTTCCGGCTGATTTTCTCCCCTCCCCCAAGTCTCTCAGCCTACCTTGGCCTTGGGGATGAGGCTCTGAGATGAGACAAAAGGGGGAGGAAACTCTTTC